GCCCACGAGGGCGCGGTTTTCCTGTATAGTAAGTTGTTGAAGGTCCGGCACGCCCTAGGGCACAGCGGTGTAGGAATAATAATATATTCAGAAGGCTATTAGGTACGACATTGATCGGTTGCTCAAATCCATGCCCGTATTTCGCTGGACTCGTGCTACAGTACAGATACACTCAACCGCGGTTGCCACCACCCCCAGTTCTTGCCAATGTGGACCGTGACATGGCACGCTAGATGAGATGGTCGAAGGTCACCGATATCACAACCAACTGGTTGGAATGGACAGTTTCGTGGACTTGGGGTTTCCACAAGTGCGAGACTCGCGACCCATGTACGTATTCCGACCCGGAGTCCCTCCAGTTAGTGCTACATCGCCATGATCTCGTGGCCCAGGTGATTGGAACGGAAAGAGTTCTTCTCGGCCTTACCATACTCTAATGCGCAACACTTCGCGAGCTTCCGTGATCGAGTTAATTTCGCAACGGTGGTGCACGCCCGCATAAAGGGGCACAGAGTCGTAATCAACATCACACGATGTTCCTCAACGGACGTGGCGAAACGGCAAAGGCGATGGTTAGGTTCTGGCCAAAATCAATAGGGCATATGAACGAGGCAACTACGCGCTTGAAGCGGTGAGAGGTGCACACGATAGCTGACTCGTCCATAAATAGGGGCATCAACCTCGGCCATCTCCTCCTAAGTCAGTATCCTCCCATCAGCTCTCTCTTCAAGGGGAACTCTCATCCTTCGACATCACTTCTGACCTCAGTCTCCCACCAAGCTCTCTCGACAACAACACAATTCTCACACTATGGCCCCGCACCCTGAACCTCAAGCCGCCATCTTCTACACGAAGACCGACTTCTCCGGCACCCCCAACGCCTACAAGGTCGGTGACGAGATTACACTCCCCGGCGAGCTCAACGACAAGTTTCAGTCGGTTGAGGTGGGCGTCAACGCCAAGGTCATTGCCTGGCAGCACTATGACGGGTCAGGCATCTACAAGGAGTGGTATGTCTTCCATGCGCGTCGCTCACCCCTAGGCCCTATATCATCATCAGGCGCGTCCTGTCGATTGTTCAAGGTCTCCGCCAGGGGTAGCACCAACATCCACCCAGATTTCTATTAACAACATCAACTCCAGGGAGGGCCAGCAGCCCGATATCACCTCCATCCAAGGCCTCACCCGCTTCAAGGTCGTGCCGGCCAACACGCGGGCCATCGCTTTTGCCTTCCAGGACGCGACGGGCGGCAAGCCGCTCCAGTACACGCTCAAGGTCGACGCCGCTGACGTCGGCGCCGTCAAGCTGTTCTCCAAAGACGCGGCGGCGGCGGCAGAGGGCAACGAGTACCGCCTTGTCGGACTCATGCCCGAGGGGGGGCTGCCGGTGACCACGGCGGTGTATGTGAGGAATGAGGCTGATGGGGGGTATGTAGCTGTGGGATCTGTTTACTTTCAGTGGTAGGTCTTTTTTCCGGCTTCTTTAGCTCTCGAGAAGACGCCTGTGTGGCTGACACCGCCGGGCAGGGATGAGAAGGACGGCCAGATGCACATTGTGCAGGACGACAACTGGCCCAAGCAGCTCAAGCAAGAGCAGACCGGGCCGAGTGCCTTCTTGGTTACGTTGGTGGATGCCACCCCGTCGTCCTAGGTTGCACCAGGTGCGGGAAGGGAACGATGTTGGGGGTAACAGGCCGTCATAGACTCCGTGCTTGTGTCGGGCGACGAGGATGCAAGGTTGAGAGTAGATGACTCGCAGAGACGTGATGTTTGCTCGGGATGGTGTTCTTCTAATCACAATGCAGTCGCTCTTTGCGCTGGGTACTTTAGTATGTTGATCTTCTCGAATTCACTGTGTTGCAGCGCTCTAGTGACGTGTGACTGTATTTCGAATATGTCGCGTTCTGCCTACAGACGACGCCATCTCACGCTGCATATGTCTGACGCTGTCGCAACACAGCAACCAGAGAAAGATTTTTGCACGATCGCCTGTGGATCAAACCTTGCGTAATTACGACAAAACGCCTGGGCAACGGCTTTCTGAGTCCGATCCGGCACTGCCGCTGAGTCAGGAAAGTAGCATGTTATCCACCCTAGTCGTCTTCCTACGGGAGATGGGTCTTGTCGTTAGGCGTCGCCGGATACCGGTCCTGTCCATACGTGCTGTTGAGCGTGGCGGCCCCGACCACCCTCCCCGACTCGAGCCGGATGTAGGTATCAATGATCCGGTTCTCCAGCTTCTCCAACGACACAACGACCTGCCTGGCACCACGAATCCAGCTGCCATACCCACCATACCCCGAGTGCTGACCAAAACACAGGTTGACCCCATTTCCCTCCACGGTCATGCCCGGCAACAACCCCTCCCACTTGTAACACCATGTGTCGCCGTGATCGTGTCCTGAGAACAACGCCATCAGCCCGGGGGTGGACGTAATCGCCCGCATAAAGGGCTCGTCCTGCCCCCCGTACCCGCACGTCCCATCGTTGCGCCCGTCGGGGCACCACCCCTGGGCCTGCTGGCTCAGGGGCTTGTCGTCGTTGATGCCCGGCTGGCGATGCTTGTCAATTCCCATGTCTTGCAGCGCGCGGGACGCGTTGGTCGGGATGTGCACGAAGGCAAGCGAGGGGATGACCTTGCCACCGGCGCTGCGGATGAGGTCGTCGTTGGTCTGCTTGAACCAGTCCACTACTCGGGAGTCGACCCAGTTTGGGAGAGGGACAAGGTTGCCGGTCGTCGGGTCTCTATGCTGGTACTTAAAGCCGCCGCGGCTGTCGAAGAACCAGAGGAGCAGTGCCGGCTGGCAGCTCTTGCAGGCAGGGTTGCAGCCTCTTGCGTAGACAGGGAGGTAGTAGTTTGACACACCAGTGTCTGGTTCCAGTACCATATTTGCAGTGCGGGCGTTTGGCCATTGTATTTCTCGCGCCAAGATATCCGTGGTTGAGAGGTTAAAGTCGCTGTCGTGGTTGCCGTACACTGACGCCCAGGTCAGTCCGCGCTGAAGCATGGGGCGTACGAGTTGGTCGACATAGTCGGTGCTGTTCTCGCAAAACGCGTTGTCTCCAGTGATGAGGTCTCCGTTGAGGATAACAAAGTCAGTGGTTGGCTCGGCATCGAGGACTGTTTCCATAACCTTGAGCGAGTATATGTCTTGTTGCGACCCCCAGTCATCCCAAGCATCTCGCAGTTCAAGTTAGACCAGAGTTGTCAGCGAGTGGCGCGAGGAGTGAGACTCACTCTCTCCGAAGTGAAGGTCTTCAAAGATGGAGATGTGGAATGTCCCATCGGGACGGAACCTAAGCGGGCCGAACTTATGTGACTCTGGGGAGCGCGTTTGCGAACCAAGGCCCGACCTGGAAGAAGGCAGACCGATGGCAACACCAGAGAGCCTGAGCGCCGTGAGCATCCAAATTCTGCATGATGACGTGAGCAGATGAGTCGAGTAGTGTGTGTTGTGCCACGAACAGTGACCTCCTCATTTCGGCCATCCTTCACATTCCTCGCGATTCGGATACTGCGTCGAGATAGCTGCTTTCAGGTCCTCTTGTAGTTACTCGGCTCTGAGCAGTCTGGTGCGACAGAGCTTGAGCAACGAAGCACCGATTCGGCTGGAGTTGCATCTGACCGTTGCAGCTCCTTCAACTTGCAACTGCAGCCAAGTCAGAGTGCCGTGAAGACAGCAACGAGAAGAAGACTGCCAATCACGTTCCCTGCGCAGGGCGAGGGCTTGAAGTAAGGTATGTATAGATACCGAATGCTTTTACGGATGATCGCCTGCATGAGGATGTGAACCCGACCACGAGAGGCTGTTCGGTTGTCCACAAATTGTCCGCGCCCTGCGCACGTGGCGCGCCATCCAGCACGTGTTTGAGGGATTCGAATCGAGTCTTGTAGATAACGAACAATTGGCATTTGGCAGTGTTCACGTTGTTTACCACTCGAATTCCACGAGCCATGCCATCACCGGCCGAGCAGTAAGGTATCACTCTACAATCGAAGACGGACCTGATGAAAAAGAATTGAGTTCTTTGGGAAGGAAAAGTGGACCGACGCCAAGCGGGCCAGGGACAACCGCGTTGTGGGCAGGATCTGGTCTTTGTTGTTACCCTTCTCAGACGTGAACTGACATCACAGGCGTAAGTACAGGAAGTCACGAGGCGAATTGGCTGGGTGGCCATGGAATGTTAGCGCTCGAATTTCTTCGAGCGGCGATTGTCGCTCGGGAATTCTATGCAACTCAGGCAATGTAGGCACTCGGCAGCGATGCCTAGGGCTACTCGTAAGTGCTGCATTTCAATATCAGATTTGTAGGCAATCTAAGGTGCCATAATCGTTGACAAAGCGGCAGCGTGTAACTTCAACCGGAGGAATATCAGTAAGCATTCGGGCAACCTGTTGAGCTGTCATTCAGCTGATGGTCTGGGCTGTGTTGCCAAGCAGGGACTTCCTGGCCGGGATTGTGGTGGGTGCTCCTCTTCTTTTTGGCTACTGGCTTGAGATCTTTCTGGCTTGCATTGTAAAGATAGAACGGGTGCTCAAGGATGATAGTCAGCGCGAGAGTTGCTTCAAGTCAGAGAATGCCCGCTATCATTTTGCACCGATCATCGAGCCTGAGTGAGGAGTTGGTTGAGAACTGCAGTACTTCGTCAATTGCGGGGCATCGCGGGGTATATAGTGGATACGCCGTGGGGACGATTGGACAGGAGGCTCCGAACTGGCGCTAGCCGGGGGCGCTAACCTAAGCACGCTCAACTTTTCTTTTTAAAGCTCTCGGCACTGCCCAACTCAGCCACGACGACCATCTAGATTCCGGGCGGGAATGATGGAGTAAGTGCGGGCTGGCCCGCACTTCTGTGAAGCTCGATCTCTGACTGCAAGGGGTGGCATAGCGTCTCCATTCCGAGATCTCAGCCGCGTGAAGCTTGTCGCCTCATTGAGATTTCAGAAGCCCGCTACCAACATCCAATTAGGTGCCTGCTACTGGACCAGCACCTTGACATTGTGGGCCTGCCAGTTCCTGGCCTGGCTGTTCGTCTCATGTTCCCCATCATTATGCGTAAGCTTCAGTTTATTGTATGTATCATCTCCTTCGTGCTTGATTCACCTACAGGTAACCTTGATCAGCCCTGCACTCTCTGCACTTCCCTCTACGCATACTAGGTACTTTGGCTGCCCAGCCATGATCGGGACAATCATGGGCCGGGATGAGCTGCGGGCCGGGGGCTGAGCCTCTTGAGTGTAGCCACGCATTGATTGGCTCGCTGACGCTCACGCAGCCGGGGTCACACAAGGCTCCTCTCTTGGGCTGCGCCGAAGCTTTTTGGTATCGTCGCCAAGGTCATCGCAGCGGCGCGGACAAGAGTCGAGCCATGAGAAACGCGCATCTGCCCTACCTGCCGCCGACTTTCCGGCCAACGGTGCGGATACCGGTACGGATGCTTGTTCGACCACTCCTCATCGCACAGTTCGCACTCTACTTTTTGACGCCGCTTTCCTTCACAGCCCGCCAACCCATCGTGCTCCAGCGCCTCGTCCCGACGTTTCGGACCTGGGACACGCCCATGTGCTCCCGGGCGCAAACCTGCCAACGCTGCTTCAGCTGCGCCATGCGGCCCGGTGTTTGAGCTCCCCCAGCTTCGTTCTCCTTTGTTTGAGATACCCAGTACCTAGGCGTCTGCATTTCGCTGTTGGTTCTTCTTTTCATATCATACCCGGTCCGGCGCCGGCTGTCGCCATGGCCTCTGCCTCCACCCCAAAGATCGACGGTGCGACATCCTGGCTGCTTTTCGAGGACGAAACCGCCGAGGCGCGCCTGTTGATCCTGGTCTCCCAGGCTCTTGGCATTCCCGTCGATAAGATACAGGCAAATGAGTCGTTCAGGGACCTGGGAGGGAACGAGCTGAGTGCAACGGCGCTCTGGAGGGCTTGCAGAGCTGTTGGCATGGATGTAAAGGTCGACGATATTCTACGGTGCTCGACGCTCGCCGAGTTGCAAACATGCATCACCCCCTGCGCCCCGCAAACGCGAACTTCGAAATCCGACGCCGTCGAGCCTGTCATGAGCGCCCCCTTAGAGGTACACCGAGCGAACCGCCTGTCGATAATGCCCGAGCCGGAGGACGGACACCTTCCAACACACAGGGGACAGAGGACTGATATTGAGCAGGCGCTCGGAATGCACTCGGAGGTTGGGAGGATAGCAACAATCCGTCCAAAGGCGGGCCTGCTCGATGGGAAACTCGTCGCGCTTTTCACGCTGTCGAGCGGTCAGACGACTCGAGAGAGCCCGACCGCTATCAACCTCATACCGCAGTCGCACGCCCTTTTCGCAGGGACCCAGGTCGCCCATCTCAAGAAGGTAGCCGAGACTGCACTCCCCTCCGACGCTATGCCGGACGTGTGGATTGTGCTCGATGCCATGCCGCTTACCGATGCCGGCGATGTTGATGTACGGCGGCTACGAACGTGGGCCCAGAACATGAACGAAGATGTTTACCACCAGGCGATGAGCCTAGAGCACCAAGAGGCACTCCAGCCACCGACGTCTGGCATGGAAAAGTCGTTACAAAGGCTAGTGAGCAAAGTCTTGGAAGTGCCCCAGGGCCAAATCGGGGTCAATTTCTCGTTCTCTCAGCTGGGCGGCGACGAGATGACGGCTATGGAACTGGCCGCCCGGTGCAAGCACGAGTCCATCTACATCAACCCTTCAGAGGCTCTGGGTTCCATGACGCTCTCGGAACTGGCCGCTATCGCGGCATCTCGCGGAGGTCTGGCCCACAAGTGGGACGAGGAGACATCCGACTGCTTCGATCTCTCCCCAATGCAGCACCTCTATTTCCAGACGGCCATGGGCGGCGACCTGAGGCGGAGACCTGCCCTCGACGGAAGCTATCGCTTCAATCAGAGTTTGCTCTTGCGTCTCACAAAGCCATTCTCCCTGGAGGATATTTCTGCTGCCATTGAAGCGGTCGTGGGTCACCATCCCATGCTCAGGTCACGCTTCGGTCGGGGCTTGAATGGATGGGTGCAAAGAGTGCTACCCGAGGTTGCCGGCTCCTACACATTGTGCCACAGCGCAATCCGATCGGAGCGGGAACTGGAGGACATAATCGAAAGGACACAGATATCGATCAATGTCGAGACCGGGCCGGTCTTCGCTGTCGACTACCTCACCACCGACGACGGGCAGCAACTTGTCTACCTGGCAGCACACCACCTTGTCGTCGACCTTTCCTCATGGCGCACCATCATCCATGACCTCGACGAACTGTTGGCGAATGGGAGCCTGTTGTCGCAGAGATCGATGCCCTTCCACAAATGGGTCGACCTTCAGAAGGCGGATGCCCTGACTCCGGATCCTATGGCCCTCCTCCCCTTTACCCCTGAGTCAGGGGACTTTGCTTATTGGGGTCTCCAAGACACGCCAAACACGTATGGTGATGCGGTCGAGGTTGGCTTCTCGCTTAGTCAAGAGCTTACCACGATCCTCCAGACTTCTTGCAACCAAGTTTTCAAGACCGACTCCGTCGAGATCTACCTCGCTGCTCTAATGCTCTCCTTCGCTCAGACCTTCCATGACAGGCCAGTGCCCGTGATTTGGAACCAAGAGCACGGGAGAGACCCCTCAAATCCTGACATCGACATCTCCGAGACTGTGGGCTGGTTCACATCACTCTGTCCCGTCAGCCTGAAGATCGAGACCACGGACGATTTCATCAAGGTGCTTCGTCATCTCAAGGATCAGCGGCGACAAATACCTACACGCGGCGCGCAATACTTCGCCTCACGATTTTACCATTACGACAAGGAGGACTTGGTAGCAAAGGATTGGCCTTTCGAGATCATATTCAGCCATGCCGGCTCCTTGCAGCACCTGGAGCGCGACAATGGGGTGATGGAGCAGCTTGCGATTCCTGGCCGGACTTTGGCGTCGAGAACGTCAGATATAGGGGCCAACGTTGGCCGCATCGCCTTGTTCGAAGTCAGCGCCATGGTTGACCAAGGAAGCGCCAAGATCAAATTCCTCTACCACCGCTCCTCCAAGGACCGGACGCGCATTACGCAATGGGTGCATAACTACGAGCATCTCCTTGTTGAGGCTGTCGGCAGGTTACAGTACCACCCGCAGGAGCTGACCATTGCAGATGTCCCGTACCTAGACGTGACCTACCAGGGGCTCGACAAGTTCAACAAGGAGCGCGTCACTATGCTTAAACTCGCCAGCGTCCGCGACGTTGAGACCATCTATCCGGTCACCGCGGTCCAGCAGAGCATCTTGCTCAGCCAGGCGCAGCGCCCAGACACGTGCTATTTGCATGCCATCTACGAATTTGCGTCGCCGAATGGGGATCCCATCGACACCTCGCGTATATGCACAGCTTGGCAGCAGGTTACCATGAGGCATCCGGCGCTCCGAACCGTCTTCACCGAGAGCATCAGCGAGACGGGCCTCTGGGACATGGTCATCATCCGCCGGATCTCTCCTGACATGCTGTTCATCGACACGGCGCCCGCAGAAGACCCTGTCTACGAGCTCAGCAATCTGCCAAACCTGCGGCCAACCGAAGGCAAACCACTCCACAGGCTCACAGTCTGCAAGGCGCCTACAAGGACTCTTGTGAAGCTAGACATTAGCACGGCCCTTTGCGATGTAAGTCCTTCCTCACATTTTCAAACGCTTACAGGCAACTGACCAATGGCAGTCCCTGAGCATCCACCTCCTTCTCCACGATTTACGGCGAGCCTATGCCACGGAGCGAGCGATCACTGAGGCGGAACACTTCTCTTACCCGCATTACCTGCACTTCCTCAAGACCGTTCGGCAAGAGAGCAGCCTTGCGTACTGGCGAGAGACGCTCACTGACCTGACCCCATGTCTGTTTCCCCGCCTCACCGTTCTGCCGGACGAACTGCGGTTTGTCAATACATTTGTCGAATTAGACATCACCTCGTACCAATTGTCCGGCTTCGCCCGAACCCAAACGACAGCGGTTGATGCTGTCCTCCGGCTCGCCTGGGGCCTGGTTCTGCGGTGCTTCACCGGCTCCAGCCGGGTGTGTTTCGGATTCCAGACCGTAGGCCGGGACGACTCGATACCCGGGATGAGACATGCCGTGGGCGCTTTCTCAAACACTGTCGCCTGCAGTTATGATCTTACAGCATTCAGCCCATTGAACACGGCACTGCAGATGGTTGAAGGCCTACTCACCGCCAGTCTACCGCACCAACACTTCACTTTGGCCGAGCTTCAGCACAGGATGGGCATGAAGGGCGGGGAGCGCCTGTTCAACTCCTGCCTTACCTTCACGGAAGAGCCAGCAGGCCTCAACAGCAAGTTTACTACGCGGACAAACTTCGAGCTTAAACCAATTTCCCTCCAACAGACCTTTGATGTAGATGTTGTGGTCAATGCGCGCTTCTCGGCGGGGAAGTTGACCGTGGATATCGGCCAACGGCTAATGTCCCCAGAACAGGCCATCAACCTGGCCAACACATTCAGTGGAGCTATCCGCGCTATCCTTTCGTTCCCCAACACCACCGTCGGCCTGGTTGACCTTTTCAGCGACCGAGATTACGCTCAGATACTCGCGTGGGAGGCTGAATCGCCACCGCACGTTGAAGAGCAAGCGCAGTCCGTTGTCCACGACCTCATCGCGCGCCAGGCCACCATACAGCCGTCGTCTCAGGCTATCTGCTCTTGGGATGGCTTTCTCACATATCTCCAACTGGAAGAGGAGGCCACCAAGCTAGCGCATCATCTTGTGGACGCCGGTGTTGGGCCCCATTCTGTTGTGCCGGTCGTGATGGACAAGTGCAAGCTGGCGCCTGTTGCTATGCTTGCTGTGCTGAAGTAGGTTGTTGAGCATGTGACGGTGATCTCAAGAGGCTGACATTCCAGGTCCGGCGCCGCGTTTGTTCCCATCGATTCCCTGGAGCTCGGCATGATCCAGCCCATCTTCGAGCGCCTCAACTCAAGGGTCGCCGTATCTTCCGAACTTGCTGCCCCTGTTCTCACCAACCTCTTTGACCGAGTTGTCATCGTGACGGACGAGCTGATGAATGTCCTCCCGCAAGGCCAAGGACCGTTCACCTCGATGGCTGCGCCCACCGATCCCGCTTGTGTTCTCTTCGTGCCGACATCGTCGAGTGACACGAGGGGTGTTACCTTCAGTCACGCAGCTCTGTCAACCGCTCTCCTGGGACAAGGAACCGCAGCAAAAATATCCCCCCTTAGCCGTGTCATGCAGCTGTCGTCGTTCAACGTGGATATCTGCATCACCGAGATCTTCACCACTCTCGCCCACGGCGGCTGTGTTTGTATACCATCTGCCACGGAGAGGCTGCAGGACTTTAGCGCTGCGGTTAACAGGATGCAAGTCAACTGGTCGTATATGACACCGCTGTTGTCCAGGAAAGTGGACCCCATTCTTGTTCCCACCCTGAAGATTGTGTGCTTTCGGACCCGAGGGCTCGACGACGACACATACAGCATTTGGCACGGGAAGGTCAACGTCATGCTGGCCTATGGCTCCCCGGATATCTGCCCGCTGGGCATTGCCTTCGTTGAGGCACTGGGTCCTCACCATTTGAGGAGCATTGGCCGGCCGTTTGCTGGCAGTCTATTGATTGTCAACCCCGAGGACCATAAGAAGCGTGTCCCAGTTGGGGCAGTTGGCGAATTGGTGGTCGAGGGTCCGACGCTGGGGTTCTCGTATCCCAACAGGGAGTCCAGTCTGACCCCATTGTCGCCCCTCGGGCCTGGCGCAGGAGGTGGAGCCCGTCACTTGAAGACGGGACATCGGGCGAGGTACACTCAAGGGGGGTTGATGGAGTTCATTTCAAGCAAGCGAGATGCAGTCGACCTCGACGGCAAGGCCGTCAACGTCACCGAGATTGAGCAATATCTGCGCCGCTGCCTTGGGAAAGGCGTTGATGTTGTTGTCGAGAATGCCATATTCAGGGGCCACGCCAAGAACGACACTCTCTTGGCAGCCTTCATTGAACTCGGCGACCGTTTCGAAAGCGGGGAGAGTCTTGCGTCGCTGAGTTCGGCAACCAAGCAGCAACTCGCCATGGCGAAGCAACTGGTTGAGGTCGGCCTCAGGAACAAGTTCCCTCCCTCCATGATCCCGTCGGTCTTCATACCAGTCAAACACCTGCCCGTCACTCCCTCCCTAAAAGTCAACCGACGCCGGCTGCAAAAGATGATTGCTGGCTTAAGCAAGGAGGATCTTCTGGGCCTTGCTGCGCTGCCAAAAGGAGCCAATTTGCAGCATCTCAAACCATTACCCCTAACGCAGAGTGAGGAGAAGATGAGGGCCATCTGGGCGAGGGTATTAGGGATCGAGGAAGCCAAGATCTCGGCACTTGACAGCTTCTTCAGCCTTGGCGGCGATGACATTGTGGCTGCACACATGGTTGCGGCGTGCAGGAAACAGGATATATCCGTGTCCATCGCTCATATCCTTCGAAATGCGACACTAACAGAGCTCAGCAAGGCGGTCGTCACTGTTGACTCGCCACAAGTTACGCAAGACTCGTCCTCTCCGGCCCCCCCCACGGCATCGCCGTCGCCAATACACATGCATCCCAATGCGATCAAGCATGTCTTCATCGAGAAGGTGATTGCCCCAAGAATTGGAGTAGACGGCAGCATGATTGGTGACGCCGCCGAGGCAACCTCGGCCCAAATTCGGTACGTCGAGACGGGCATGCTTAGCGGTCGTCCCAACGTCAACTACTTGGTCTTCAATTTTTCCGGGGCCGTAGATTCGAGGAAGTTGGAGGAAGCCTGCAAAACTCTGGCTACTTTACATCCTATTCTCCGCACCGCTTTTGTCCCCTACAACCGCCGACTGTACCAGGCCGTTATCAAGACTAGCAAAGTCGAGTTTCGGCGGCATCATTGCCCGACATGGCGCCTTTCTACCATGCTGGACAAGGTGATCAGGAAGGATCAAACGGGGCCCATCAAGTTCGAAATCCCGGTCACCAAGTTCATGTTCCTCGATGGCGGCAAGCAGTCGGTTCTAGTCTTGAGGCTATCCAAGGCGCAGTACGACGATCTGTCGGTGGCACTGTTGGTCAAAGACCTCAAGAGGCTGTACGATGGCTCTCAGAAGCCTCCTCGTCGACCATCCTTCTGCGACTTTGTGCGCGCCGCACAGGTGGCCAACTCTCACGGGGCAGAGGAGTATTGGCGTGCATTGCTGGAAGGCGCCGTCATGACCCAGGTCGTCACCCACACACAGCCCTACCACGTGTCCACCAACGTCCAGACAATCCGGAACCCTGCCATCTCGCTTGCATCACTCTCTAGCCTCGGGATCTCATTTGAGACGATTCTCAAGGCCGCATGGGCGATGGTGCTTGCGAATCTCTCGGCCTCTTCAGATGTCGTCTTTGGCGAACTTATTGACGGTCGACATGTCAGACTTCCCGGCGGCCATTCCGTTGCTGGCGTCATGGGCCCTACAGTCAACGCTACTCCGGTCCGCGTGCAGTTCCCGGATACGCCGCTCACTCCACTGAATCTCCTCCAGTACATCCATGCGCAGCGCATGTCCGGAATTGCATTTGAGAACCTGGGAACGCTGGCGATCATCGAAAAGTGCACGCCGTGGCCATACTGGACTCGCTTCAGCACGCTAGTGCAGCATCAGGACGAAGACACCGCCGTCAACCCCTCCGAGACCAAGTCGTTCCACCTCGGCGCTGCAGCATGCAAGTTCACCATCACCGAGTCAAGTGCGCAGGATGTGCCCGATCTTTTGGTTCGGTCTCTTGTACGCCAGGCAAACCGCATTGAAATCTCCATCACGTTCTGTGCGGACCGGGTTACCGAGAAGTTTGCCGAACATGCGCTTCGCATGCTCTGCTCGACCATCAGCCTGCTCATCGGTGTCAACCTCACGCAGCCTATCATCCCGTGTGGCTATCAGTACCGCGGCATGATCAAGAAGATCCCAGTGCCGGCGAAGACTTCGGCGGACAACTTGATCGGCGCTGACAGCGGCGTCATAGGCACGCTGAGCAAGGACCACGTCAAGGCTGTCCAGACGATCATCTCGGACACTTGGACGTCGATTCTGAATCCCAGTGCGCTGGGAGTGCCGGAGTCGCAGATCCACAATGCGGCCTTCTTCGATCTTTGGGGCAGCTTGATCCCCGCCTCTCAGATGATGCAGCAGCTCAACCAGGAGCTGCGCCAGGTCAACGTGCCCGGAGCTGATACCAATTTTCAAGTTACTATGGAGGAGATCGTTGACAACCCAACAATGCTAAAACAGTTTGAGCTCATCGCTTCCAAGCTCAACAAGACGAGCAAGGAGGTACAGAAACCCAGAGACAAAGACAAAGAGAACATCGGTGAAAAGAGCGGCGGCAATTCGAAACCTGCCCATAAGAGGAAACCAAGCATGAACGTATCAGTCCCGGCGCCCTCCTTTGGCAGCCGTCTGCGCCGATTTGCCAGCACTGTCGCTCGGACTACCTCTCCGCCCACAAACAACGACAATAACCGCATGAACATTGCCGCCACTCGACAACGGACTAATTTCCAACCACCACCCACCCCGACCACGCCCGTCGCCATCGGCATTGCCTCAGCCATGGTTGCCGACATGTCCCCACTCTCCCCAAAGATCGTCGGCAGCGTCAGCCCCGGCATCTCGTCCACCTTCAGCACGCGCACCGTCTCAAGCAACGCCAGCCCGAACCTGACCGTCCCCAGCGCCCCGCCTCAACTCCCCAGTCTCCCGGCCTTCGAGCCCATCGTTGAAGAAGCCGAGCCTTTTGACAACTCCATCCCGCCCGCGCCCCTGTCCGCTCCGCTCCCAGTCATGCGACAGGCCTCTCCGCAAGGGATCGGCATTTACCTTGCCGAACCAGATAGCATGACCGAGGGCAGTAGTGCAAGCAGCGGTACGAATGCTAGCACCGAGATGACGCTTGCTATGACGTCGAGTATGAGCAATGTGCCTGGTGGACTCGGACGGGTGCCGGCCGAGAGGAGTGAAATCAAAAACACCGAGCTAGAACGCGAGGGGTGGAGGGATAGTATGATTAAGGACAGAGACGCCAACCGTGATACCATCGGTCCCTTGCCCTCGACTACTATTACGCCAACGGGTGTGAGAACGGCCAGCGGGGTTGTGCATTACGGCAGTAAGGTGCCTGCTAATATGCGGGTCGTGCTGCCGCCTCCGCCGAGTACGCCGTTGATGAGAATGGCTGGGGAGGAAGCGGGAATGGAGGAGCTGGTTAGTCCGCTTAGTGCGGTCACGCTGACCCCGGGCAGTGCTGGCGGCGGAGGGAGGTTTCAGCCGCATCAGCATCGTCGGCATGCGAGCGCCGGTGGTGGGTATGGAGGGCATGGAGGGGGAAATGTCTCGGCTGTTTCGAGTCCTGGGACGCCAGGCAGGGGGCAGAGGTCTCCTTAAGGTCTGGTGTGCAGTGGGCAATGTAAAGTGAAACGATGTCTCCTTTGGAAGATGATGTGTTGTGATGACTGATTTGGACAATGTCATGTTTTTGGATCTGGATCTGTATATATACCTCATGTGCATTTCTGTTTCAGCGGGTGATCCGCATGGTTCCATTGACGGGATGCTTGGGCTGGTTGACTACAATAGAGACCGAGGGAATTTGTATTCCGACAGTCTTGCGCAGAGTTTCGGCAACTTTGGTCACTTGAATGCCCCGGACATTAACCTAGCCTGTCCGTGTTCCCATGAGAGGTACGTAGAAGACTCTGCAATCTAACCTGGACTGATAACTTACATATAAATTTAGCAGAGCCATAATCGCAAACGAAGAGTAAGCGATACTTCCTCGCCACTATGGGACTACCCTCCCAGCGGGCCTATTGCCCCAGGCAGCATAATCCCTCCCTATCCCGCCCTGTGTCCCCGTAGTCTCCGCAACCAAACTGCTGTGAGCGCAGAACGCCAGGTCCGCCTTGGCGTTGTGGGAAGGTTGTATAAAAAAATTGTATCTATAGATATGGGTTTTTCACCCGGCCTACAAGGGCGCGGTTTTCCTGTATAGTAAGTTGTTGGAAGGTCCGGCACGCCCTAGGGGACGACGGTGTAGGAATAATAATATAGGGAAGCCTTAGCAAGCACACCACCACCACTATCAAGCACACCGCTATTCCTGATCAGAAATAGCGTGTACGTCACACTGCAGCAGTACAAGCAGAGTTCCTTGACAGCTGCCAGGCCAGCCGCAGCCCGCCACAAAGCCAGCAGCAACCAACAACAGCATCAATAGCATTAACAGCATCAACCGAACGTATCGTAAATAGCTTAATTCTGCTGTATTTCTGATGTTCTGAAACATCCTAACGATTCATCAAAGCATCAGCCGTGTCTGCCGCCGGCTGGCTGATTCCCCAAAGCAACAGCATCTTCCTGATCCTCGCGGGCAGCTGCTTCGGCCGCCGCTAGTGCCCGATCATGGTCATCTTCAACGTCGGGATCCAGGGCATCCAGGCCATCGATGAATCGACCGGAGGCCCGCGGTGCCGCTGTGCCGGCTTCGTACGAGTCTCTCCCAACCTGGCGCAAGCGCTGCAGACCGAGCTTTGTACTTGTGACCTTGGAATTGGCTGTGGCGCCCTTGACCGAGGTCATGGCAACCACAATACAGTCCTCAATGCGGTCCTCAACGGAAGTCTGCCGATGGCGTTGGAGTAGGTTGATGATATCCTGGCCATGAATACCTCGTTGTTCGGCTTGGATGGCAGCCAGTATCTGTGCAGGTCGGGAGCCGCCGTTTGAGAGCTTGATGACCTCCTGTTCGAAGGGAGCGAGGGCATCAGCTCTGGCGCCAGCAAAGGCAGTGGGATCGCTCCAGCCGTGGTTGTGCAATGCCGCTGGGCCGCCAGGAAGCTCCACAGCCCATCTGCCGTCAGGGAGAGGCCGGGCGGCGAGCTGGAACTTGCAGCTAGTAAACTGCGTGCTGGTCTTGCGGCGCTTGGATTCGTGGGCCTCGGGATTGGCCTGAGGTTTGTACTCACGGCCCTTGGCACAGCGGAAGCGCGCTCGGCCAGATCTGGTGCCGTTCTTGACCATCCTGTAGCCGTGGGTGGAAGCGTGGGCTTGGATGGCTGCCTATGCTTCCTCCAAAGTGCCGTAGGTGTTCTCGGGCGGCGGCGAGCCGCAAGGCCGCTCTGGCGTTTGCGATGACGATCCGGCTGCTTCCATCCTGCTTAAAAATAGCTTCATCAGCTAAATGATTAGGATCAGGGTCTGAAGGCATACCTGACAAGCTCGGCGGCAGCAGGACTTTTTTTTGGAAGCAGAAGTTAATGCTGTGGCAGTAACACTGCTGTGAAGATGGCTTTGGGGAAGAATTCAGTTGCGTTGTTGCCACCTGGCAGCTGTCAAGAAATTCTGCTTGTACTGCTGCAGTGTGACGTAAACGCTATTTCTGATCAGGAATAGCGGTGTGCTTGATAGTGGTGGTGGTGTGCTTGACAAGGCTTCCCATAATATATAAGCGAAATGACCCACTCCCTCACCCGCACTTTAATAACTATCCTCAAATAAAGCGCAACAATATTAAGAACTAACTACAGTCACATCGGAAGCAGTTACGTCAGACTATACTGCAGCTTCCTGGCAGATGTGAGCATTATGTCGGGGCTTGCCGCACACGCTGCAGCACCGAACCTTCGTACGCGCCTCTTTGCACCACCACCATCCAGCTGCATTTCTTGCGCCCTCCCCACCCATGGCCTTCTGGTCAAGTAGGTCCTTTGCATCTTGTACCACAAGTGATCCTCAGCCGTATGCGTGTTCTTTCGCTCTCCGGCGCTTACTTATTGCCTCATTGGCCTAGCGAAACGAAGAGACCTGTGTTGAACTGAACTGGCTCCTTTGATTCAGGGGCTGGGCACTGTTGCCCAATACAGTAAGCGTGGAAGACTCGTCACCCACCCAGAAGCAGGGTCTGGCGAGGGTCCCGAAGCCCTCGGTTCCTTTCAAGCAACACACACACATGACACGCGGTTCAAACAGCCAATTCAAGCTTCATCTTGTGCCTTAATTGATGCAGTGTCACCTGGTTGATCTATGCCCATTCGAGCCTGTAACTGTTGCTGTCCAACACTTAGGTGTTGTTGGAAAGCCAACAGCCACGGATTGACCGCACCGTAGTACTGTAATTGGGTACCAAAAGATGGGCAACCACTCAATTTGATGATGGTGTTCCTGTCTGCGTTCTTCCAAAAAGTTACCCGCCTGTTCCTGATCCTGAAAATCCTGGTGCCAAGCCATTAGTTACCCCTGAACTGCCCTCTCTGACCACCTGCCAATCCAACAACTCTGAATCCGAGGGCATCGCAGCATCCTAGCACCTTCTGCGCCCAGGTGGTCATTGCGTCGACGGGTGTCACGGCGGAACAGGCGGACAATCCAATGATAATTGTATTCCGGCTAAGCTACATTCTAGGCTCTATTCCGTCAGGTACGGGCAGGCTTGATTGTCAAGATGTAGCTTGAGGAGCTATGAACAGAACTCGCAGCAGCGAGGTGCAGGATCTTGGGCGCTGATATATAAGCCGCCAGCCTGCTTGTTCGTATACGACAAGAAAAGCCTTTCCCACTGATAATTTCTCAAGTAACACAGTACCTGCCAGCAATTCCAGCCCAACAATCCTCCGTCCGCCAGGTATCGCTGTTATTGTAACCAAGTGATCGGAGTGTTCGGAACACAAACGAGCTCAACGACCTCGACTATGTTCCCAAGAACCGCCACACTAACCAACCGGCTGGATCTCCCATCATTTCTTAAACGCCGCCTCAGCCTCAACATTACCATCCCGATTCACCACCGTGACGGAGACCCCACGGGGTGTGCGTGGCCTGCGTTCCTCAACCTCCATACTGACGGCCTTCCCCAGATTGCGTACTCCCACCGCAGCCTCCTTCTCCTTTTCTTGGACGGCGAGCGCTACGTTTTGTGCCGCGCCGTGGGCCGCACTGTGTGCGGTCTCCTGCCCGAACTGCACCGTCTTCTCGACGCTGCTCTTGACCTTGTCGATCGTGTCCTCAAGGCTCCGCAGCCTCGCCAGGAGATCCGTCGATTTGGCCTCCACCGTCTCCGACACGGCCCCAACCTGAGCGCCCACCTTCTGCGCCGTGTCGTCCAGGCCCGGCCGCAGCTTACCCGCCACTTCGTCGGCGTGTGGCTTGACGTCAATGCCGCCCGACACCTTGGCGTGGGCGGCTTCGCCCAGGCTCCGCACCTTGGCCATGACGTCGTCCGACTTTGCGTCCACGGCCCCCGCGTGGCCCCTCAGCTTCTTGAACGTCTCTTCCAGGCCCCGGAGCTTGCTAGCTATCGCCTCGGCCTTGGCCGTGTCCACGCCGCCGTTGTTCATCTTGGGGCTGTGCGCCTCGGGCGTGCTGAGCTGGATCTCCCGCTTGGTGTTGTCGTACATCTCGCGGATGGTGTCGACCACCTCGTAGACGTCCAGGGTGCAGCCTTCGAGGGAGAAGTCGCGCTCGCGGTGTTCGATGAACTCGCGCACCCTTTTCCACTCGGTGGCGTTCTGCCTGAAACGGGCCGGGTAGCCGGAGCCCTTGAGGTAGCTGAGGAAACCCGCAATAATCGTGTTTACGGCTCCGAACGCAGTGATGGCCTTGTTGTCGGCGTTGGCGGCCCCGAGGGCGGTCAGGGCGGCGGCGACGATGATCTGCAGAAAGAAGCACGCGTTGATGGCTGCCGAGAAGACCTTGTAGTTGTCCTTTGCTGTTTGTTCCGAGTGCACGACGCGGGCGTAGAGCCCGACATTGTCGGCCGGGCGGAGGGCGGATGAGTTGAAGCCAAGATGGGGGTCCGCGGTAATGCCCAGCATCAGCCGGAAGAGGACGAGGGCGTCATCGCCAGACACGCGATGGCCCACGGTGTGGATGTGGCTCGGTGCCAGTGTTGAGGACCCCAAAACTGACGAGTCCACGTTCGTCGCTTGTTCTTCGTCGAGGCGGCTCCTGCCCCTTGCATGTAGCAAGCGCCGCTTGGGGACGATAAGGCGCATGAGAGAGTCGACAAAGGAAGAAGCCATCTTGTCAATTCCTCGTACGTCTGTGCAAGCGGCCGGTTGGTGTTGTGAGAATGGGAGCTCACTCCGCAGCGAGCTAGCCGCATGCTGCATGGGTTTTGAACCTTAACCTCCCTCCCATCATGCACCTCGTCGGCGTCCAGGCCCGCCATGGTTGACGCCAACCAATAACAGACGCACGTCGGGGACCCATCCCGCCGCAATTTGCGACCAGAAAATCTTCGATCGGTATCATTGGGCTTGCAGCGTCGCGTCGAGGAGGCAGACGGGCGTCGCTTGTGATGATCAATTTCCCTCCGAGGATGTCCAGCTGCGCCGGGTGTCTTGGTTTGCCCGAGTCGGTTAGCTGAAGGCTTGTCCCGTTCCGATCCCGCCGGTAGAATCCTGGCAGTCGAAGCTTGACTGCCCAATAGCTTCACGGGTCCGTCCGCAAGGTTCCGTTACGCTAATATATATTCAGCAGTTGCTTGACACGCAAAACTTGCAAACTTGAGCTTCGCTTTCTGCAGTGATCATCCATACTACTTGACGCCATCGGATGGCATCGTCAAGCAGACGGTGTTTGCAACTGCTTCTCAGAAGTGTTGCATACCGTGTGCACTGTGGGGTAGCTCATGGAGATGCATACGAAGGTAGGGGGCTGAAATAACAGCAGTGGGTCCGGTACTGACAGGTGTCTCGCTTGTACCTCCTTTCCCTCTCTCAACAATGCAACCCAGGCAGTCCGGTTCATACTTCAGTTACTTCAATATCTAGTACAGAGCTCATTTGCCGCGATAACTGCCTGAACGCGGTCGGGCATACTCTGAACTAATTCCAAGAGCCAGTCTTCAGGGACCTTTTCCCATGCCTCTTTTACAGCAACACGAAGTTGATCATATGACATCTTTTCAAGTTTCTCCAAATAGTCCTTCATCCAGTGACTTGACAACAGCCCCTGTCGGTACCGGACCCACTGCTGTTATTTCAGCCCCCTACCTTCGTAGAGGATGCAGAGCAAAAAGGTGGTGAATATGGTGATGATGCAGGATGCTCCAGTGTGGGCAGAGAGATGTGGGTGGAGCCTGCTGACTAAAAAAGGTGGGTCAGAGCCCTACTCGTTGAACAGTATCAAGAGAAGTGAATTGAATTCCTGCTTCGGCTAACACGTCAATACTATTCAGAACTGTACACAAGGTACAAGGCGGCATATAATACGATACTCTTTAACAAGCGTGAATGGCCTTCGTGTTTAGGCGCTATTGTGCATCAAAGGGTTGTAATAAGATGTTGAGTTCATATCATAAGTACTTGGCACAGCAATGCTTACGTTAGCTACAGTACCTAAGATAGTCTTGCACTTAATTACTGTAGGTACATACCTACTCATCGGTGCGGGGCGTATGGACTTTACCTCCAATGATCTTAGAGGCAGTCTACTAGAACGGCTCCGTAAACATGATCAAACTTGGCAATGTAGACAGAAGTCAGTTCGTGCAATAATCAACACTTGTCCATCTATTTCAGCATAAGAAGATATACAAATCCCAGATAGATTGCATTTGATGTCAGGGAATGGTCAAGTCTCTGAAACAGAGATCTGTGACTAACGTTACAGGGTTCGAAAATAGCGTATGCTCTTTAGGTGTTCCAGATATCGAATGTGCAATCTGGGACTTCCAGTTGTTTGTCTTCGGCAAACTACGGCATTTACGGCCAGAGTTTGGTAGCTACACATGCACTAACACTCTCTGAGACCACATCCACACAACAAGCAGCAAGGCCCGGGCGATCGGCATCTTGGACTCCTCGTCTCCCTCGCTTTGGTCCGTTTGGGGAATCTCTCCTGCGTTGGCAGTGTCTTTCTCTTGCTGTGCGGGCGCCTCGGGATCCAATTCTTCTAGGGAGCAGCATTCTTTGCACTGCTCGGCCAGAACGCAGCGAACCTCAGCCGCTCGCTTCTTCTCACTACGGCACTTGAATGCCTGACCGCACTTTACCCTGTCCGCCCGTTCGTTATCGGTTGGGCTGCGGCACCGCTTGCAGGCCATATACTGCATACGGAAGAAGCACCTCCTGGCACAGTTTTGTGGAGGTGATGGGTTGTTGATGGACGGTTTGCTCAGTGAGTCGGAGTGTGAGGTGGATAGGGGATATCTGAGAGATGAGTAGCTCGGTTTTAATAGGGGATTTACGCCTTTACACAGGGCCCCCGACATGCTGCGTACAAAAACAATGTGGCCTTGTGTCCTCACGGAATACCTGACTTGTTGCCCAGAAGCCTGATCCAAAACAGAGTCTCGTCACGGTTTCTACCCCGTTACTCAAGGTGCATGATCAGACGATCTTGAAATGAATGTAATTCTTTGTCTGACATTGCCGGGCAAATTCTCCGGGTACCGGTAGTTACCTTACCAACCCAAGGCCCCTTGTTGCCCCTTATGCCCTCGATCTCAACTACTGACTGACAACCAAATCAACCACGCGAAACAAATGGTCAACAATAGCCTCACTCAAACCAAACTTGAACCAACCCAGAGGTATACTCACCACCACCGCCCTCCCCCATCTCCCTTCCTCCCTGGCGAGACTCAAGCCCTCACCATCCACTCACTCTCCTCGACAAACCGATGCCTCAGCCCAGAATCAATCTTGGGATACGGATTCGTCGGCCAGTACGCGCGCCACTCGTTACAAACCCTATTAAAGTCATTCCGGTCCGCCGGCGAGATCCGCTGGCGCAGGTCGTTTGGCCGCTCCAGGAAGTCCACGCTCAGCCCGCCCGACACGTGCCAGGCGATGTGGCAGTGGAACAGCCAGGCGCCCGGGTTGTCCGTTTTGAAGGCCAGCAGCAGCCAGCCCCTGGCGGGAAGCATGGCCACGTCGCGCCGTACCGGGTTGGCCCCCCGCAGGCGGGGCAGGTCGACGGTTGGGTCGAAGACGAAGCGTTGCTGGGAGCCGGGGGGCACGTCGGGGGAGCGGCCTAAGACGAGGAAATCGTGACCCTGGAACGGGAGTTGGTCAAGGTTATGTGGCATGCGAGTGGAGTTGATGGTATTGGGATATAGGGAGAAATGGGTTGGGATCAAATAGGGGAAGGGGAAGAAGGGGCGGCTTACGTGCAAGTGCATGGGATGCGGCAGACTGAAGGCGCCGTCGGGATCATTCTCGACAAGCCAGTACGTCCACTGCGGATTCAGTCAGCTTTCTCACCCGGTCTCTATCATCCTATGGGGAAAGATGAGAAAGACTCACCTGATCTACACCGTCAACCTGGACAATATTATCACTGGCAGGATAGCTCGTATTTCCCGTCATGACATACTCCAACACGGGCTTGTTCCAGTTGACATTAATCGCACTGCCATTGACTTTCCACACAAACAGGGGCGTGCCGGTCAAGTCAAGGTTCACCGGGAGGGTATTGCTAGGCTTCTTGACAAACCCGTTGACGGGCACATTCCGGGTGACGACGGGGGTCAGGTTGGGCAGGTCAAGGCACTGATGGTCTACAGGGGGGGTGCCGCGGTCGGTGGGCAGGCCCCCGGGGGCGCCGGCGTAGTGGAAGATGGCAGCCGGGTGCGGGTTGAGCGAGCCGCCGCAAAAGGCTTGACCGCCAAAGGTAACGTTGAACCAGTAGTTGCCCGGGGTGCGGCTCGCGTCGATGGTCACGTCGTAGCGCTGGCCCACGCCCAGGAAGAGGCTGTCGACCGTCATGGCGTTGACGGGCACCATGTCGGCGGCGATGACAGTCATGGTGTGATTGACGAGCGAGACTTGGAAGTGGTTCTCTGTCGACGTGTTGATGATGCGCAACCGGTGGCGCTTGCCTGGGGTGAGGGTCACGTTGGCGTACTGCCCGGCGCCCGTGGTCGGGTGCTTGGCGGTGCCGTTGAAGAGGACGTTGTCGCTGAACGGTGGGCCGTTGTTCATGGTGAAGTGGACGAGCTCGTCGGCGCTCTTGTAGTAGTAGTCCATCAGGGGGAACACTCCCAGGTCGATGTCGTAGGGAAGTGAGGCCGGGCCGTTGATCTGGATGGTGCCGACGACGCCGTTGCCATACTGCGCCGAGAAATGAGAGTGGTACCAGCTTGTGCCGTACTGCTGGGCCCGGAACCGGTACACTTTCCTGCCGCCCTTGGGTGGGATGGGGCACTCTGTCACACCATTGGCGCCGTCGTGAAGGTTGGTGTTCTTTTGGTGCATGCCGTGCCAGTGAATGGAGGTGCTGGTCCCATGTTAACGCTGAAGTCTCAAGTCGAGAGGGGGGCATACCCGTTGGTAATGAGGTTGTTGATGACAGTGACCTGGATCGTGTCACCCCAGTTGGCGAAGATGGTCGGGCCTGGGAGGGTTAGCGTGAGAAGGTCAAGCAACTTGGCCATCAAATGGCCCGGTGACATACCCATGATTTTGCCTGTAGACAAACCTGTCAGTCAAGTCCAGTCCCAAGAACCTCAGCATGTCGAGGGTATATTTTTTACATACCGTTGACGAGCATGACTTTGTTCTTGACAACGCCGTCTGGGCCGGTCCAGTTGTCAATTTCCGTAAGAGTCAGAGTGTACTATCTGCAATCAGCTCCTGATCTTTTCTAATCATGAATACACTGCATGTGCTTACAGGCCGAACGACGCCAGTGTTCGGCGAGTTGACTTCGTAATCAGTATTGATATTGAAGCCTGGAGCCCAGCACGCCCGGTTGCTCGGCGTGTGGCAGCCGGTCTGGCGCCTGGCCGTGTCGTCCTGTCTTTCCTCAAGGGGGACGAGGAGGTCTCTCTGGACAGGCGTGGCAGGCGGAGCGGCGACGACACTGGGAGCAATAGCGCCCAGCATGAGCGCCACAACGCCAAGGAAGAATTTCATGATGAAGAAGTTGTTGAGGCCGATGGGACTTAGAGAGCCAATTGAGTGGACTTAGGGAAGAAAAAAGGCTGACGGGGGGATATGGGGGACAGAATGGCCGTCCAGATGACCTGGTGAACAGAGAATACCAGCATCATCAATGGGGCGACTCACCCCATTATATAGACGCAACTGCGTTTGTGGAGAAGCGGCTGGGATGTGATGGATGCTCGTAATCGACGTTCTTCCCCTCAGTCTGCTTCAGTCCACACGCTCGACAATGAGTCTCCTCTCAACAGGAGCGGCAGGACGGTGTAGAAGGACTCGGAACCATGACGATGCTGAAGGATTGATGTAACGCTAGAGCCGTGTTCGGTATGGTATGGTAAGCATCATGGATGTCCTCGGAGGGCGAGTAGCGCCCCGGTCGATGAGTTGTCGTTGTCAACGACACCTGACTCGTGATCGTGTGCCTGGGGTAATCTCCGGCGGCTGAAGAGGGGCCACAGAGGCGTAGTGGTGTGTACGATGATGGGTATGACGAGACGCGTGACGCCAAGAATAGGCAGGGCAGCGTTTGTGTAGAGCTGCCAGCTCCTTTCCCCCCATCCCAACGAGGCTAGGGGTTCAAAGTCGTGTCCGGAGGCGCGGCAGAGTTGATTGTGACCTCTGATAACCCGACCAGGCTCAGTAAAGCAAGCCATGTGAAGCCTCAGCTGTAAGGTCTAAACGTTCACGGACGGTATCTGTGGACTGGTCTCTGGTACGAAAACTCGCCTTGACCACGAAGGCGCGGAAGGTTGTAGCCGAGGTCAATAGTTCTGCATGCTTCTGCCAAAAACGAGTACCTTAATATGAGTAGTACTGCACAAGTGAGGCTTGAGAATTCCCGTCTTCTCCCTCCACGACGCTTCCGGATTGGGGAATAGATATTATTGGAGCAAACCATTAACGCCATCGGCCCTATAGGAAGTATTGGCTTGGCCGGCACAAATTGCTAGCAGTCTTCCTGCCGGTGTTTTAGGCGCCTGTCTGAAGCATGTCTGTACATGAAAAGGGGCAAACGCGGGCAGCTGGGGGAAGTGTGTGTAAGTGTGTGCATACGGTACCGATCCCGGCTCTGTCTCTCGTTCGGCGGCAGGGTTGCTGCACGAAGGCTGACTGACAAGATCCTCGTGGCTGAATGCGCAAGCTCTTGGCAGGGGAAAGATACGTGGGCTGTAGAAAGTTAGATGTAAATGTTGTTCAGGGGCCCTAGAGGGTTTGTGGGACTTGTCAGGTAGGTAAGGTACCTAGTGTAAGGTAGCTTGCCGTCGCAGTAAACGTGTCGTGGTGGCCGAACATTCATCCAGTAAAAACATCTGCTTCACAATTTGCCTGAATACACCACGGGGAGGCAATGAGCATACATCTAATGGACATGACATGCAGAACAAGGGTGGTCTTGACGGGCCCTCCCGGGGCAGGGGGTCGGCTGACTATAGGTAAAGATGTTCGGATAGGGGCTGCCGTTTCAGCACTCGAGCGACTGGGCAGCCGGCGCAGATACACTGGCTACCTACAAGTGAGTGGTCGACTATGTTCTGGAATCCACAGGGTCCATTCTCAGGGCAAGACCCAAAACGGCAGTCGACTCGGCTTACGGGACAGGGTATAATGCTGTACGACAGCGCTCGATGTCACGGTGGGTACCACGGCTTTGGTTGCCTCGGGACGGAATGCCACGCTCAAGGTGTCGTTCTTTCCGGCTGCGACCCCCCCTTGCGGGACTCTGCCCTACCGATATAACATTGAAATGAAAATAAATGGAGACGTCGTTCGCCTCTAAGCCCATGGACCAGACGGCCCTGGCAATTCATTACTGCTAGGTACTTGGTCTTTCGACGCATGATCAGCTCGTGAACACATGGACACGGTTGGTTCTCCTCAAGCGACTTGTCGTTGTGCGGTGGAAGCTCTTGGAGGTCGACGCATGTCCTATCTCGGACTCGATATGAACGAGCCAAACGGATGATGCTAATCCCTGTCTTGAATACTTCTCGCTGACTGGGCCGTGATTCTCGTCCTCAATCCTGCCCCGTGAGACACCTCGATCCCGGTCTCCAGCACTCGGCGAGCGCGCAGGGGGGTCGGGCAGCTGTCATCGTCAGATGAGGCCAAGGGAGCTAGGTTACGCCCGAGCATCCCGAGAGCTTGGGTTCGGGTGACACAGGAGCGCTCTGGGCATTGACTTGGCGTCGGAAATCGGACCCGGAGGTGATGACTGGAGCCAGCCAAGAACAACGGAGAGTTTTCCTGGGAGAGACACTCACCCGGCTCATGTGACACGCCTGGTGGCGGCAGGTCGGGGGTCAACCAATGGACCAAATGGCCCGCATTAACGCTACATGTACGTACCCGAAGGTGCGTAAAGCAAACTTAATCTGGCATGCATAGACGGCAGAAGTCAAAGGGCGGTACTGCTTCTTCTCGCTTCTGCACCCAGGCCAGCTGTGACACTGCCATGCTGTGGATGCTGGGTCTTCCCGCCCTCGGCGTTGAGGGAGCGTTGCTTTCATTTCAGTCAGTGTGACCTGCAAAGGTAAAACACAATCAATGAACCAGTAGTTAAATTGCGTGCGGGCGAAAATGACTTCCATCGATTGCATCGAGAATCGGATCGTATTCCGTCGAGGCTTGAAAGTTTGCGAGCCACCCTGAGAGCGGGACGGCGGGCTTGGCTTTCTCAATGAAGCTGCATATCGGGCTAGGGAAGAAGTCCTTGTGTAGTCGGTCCCGAGCCGCGTCTCGTTGCTAAATATAAGGGAAGGTAGAGGTAGATTCCGCAGACTATTGGCTGCATGCCGCTGCCGTCCGCTTATTTCTCGGCCCAATGGGAGAAAGTCCCCTAGGACACTTGAAGCTTGTCCAACTGTAGGTTGTTATTGCTGGCATCTCAAGCAATTAGATGGTTCTGCCTCTGACCCAAGGGATGGAGTTCATCCTGGCAGCATTCGAGTGATGATGTTAGCATATTCAGGAATACGGAAAGACCATTGCAAGTAATAGGTTAACAGCGATCCTGAACATCATGATTGCTGGTCTGGGAATCTTGTTGGCCCTCTGACATTGCCGTCGTCGAATTCTTCCCTCACAGTCTAACCGACATAACTGCCCTGGTTACTGGTCGTGACTACAAGACCTCAAAGCTTGCAGCATTAGCAGCATCGCTTGCGCCAATCTTATAACCACAGGCCGGGTAGGCGCGGGTTGGAACGGTCAGAACAATTGCCCATGCTGTGGAACTTGAGTCACAGCTTTTTGTGGATTTTAGTGGTAATTATCGAAAATCAAAATGATCCAAATGTCCCACAGGAAAGTTTCGTCGCAAGGAGGCTTTTCTCGAATGTAGACATCCTGGAACTTGCCCAGACACAGATCGTTGCGCGGCGAACAAGTGAGCCTCTAGGTGCGTAGATATTGTACCTTACCTACAGTAATCAAGGTACCTTAGGGAGCCTGTAACTACTGTACTAACCTGCCTGTTTGGTCGACATCATTTGGCCCAGCTGAGCTGAGCGCACACCAAGAACGATATCTTGCTGCAGGGCTGAGCTGAGGACAGTGACCAATGAATCTGAAACAGAAATGATCGACGTGAGCAACAACGCGGCGTGTTGAGTCCAAGGCGGCGGGAGCCGCCGAGCATTCGAGAGACCTTTCAAGCTTCACCTTCTTCCCTCTTTGTTCATCTGTTCTGACCATCGAGTTGAATACAGGCTTTCCATGCTCGAGATGATGATTCCTGGTTTTGCTGTTTGTTGGATTAAGTTCAATGATTACGTATGGAAAGAATGGCCACGCTCAGAGAGCAAAGCGCCTGCCTGTCCTGTTTAAACGCTGTCAATCAGGATCGGGCCCCTGCATGCCGCATCAACAAAACCCGGAATCAAGGCAACATCATCCTGGGCCGCTCGCGCTGGGGGCGGGATCAAAACCGGGAAAAACTGGGCCTGCCGGCATAGCGGAACTCCGAACCACGTTGCTGCCCCTTCCTTTGACACCGTCCTCGCGTCCCGCATCCCAACCATTCTGCCGCGCATCATCCACACTAGCATCTAATGCTCATGGCGTCGGTCAAGGGGCGCCGCAACCTCTACTCACCGCTTGGTTTCTTGTATCGTGCCTTTCTCTTACGCTCCATCAACGCGGCTGAGCCGCTGAGGTCAAGCCGTCACCTCCAATAGAGTGCCGCGTCATGCCATCCTTCGTTCTCGGTGGCGTGGTATGGAACCAAGATTGCCCGAGAATTATCGCTTCCAGTCTGTTGGTATCTCTTGAGAAACACCGAACCTCAAGCACCAGCCAGGCGCCCAGGGCTAGGGCGAAGAAACAGGAACAGAACCTAATCTGACTGTCTAGCACAACTACGGCAGGACGCCGAGGTATGATAACAAGGATGGTGTCATATCCCTGTGGAATGCGATTTAGGAAAGAATGGAATGAGCGTTGAGAGATGATCTCCAACTACATGTAGGTACCTCTACCATATGATGGAGGACTGCCCAGGCCTAGCATACCTTAGATAGTCGACCGAAGAACAATGAGCACTCTCCCCAGCCTAAATTAAATGACCTATGCGACGACTTTCCAGCCCTTCAGAAGCTCCTCTGTGACTTGCGTGCCTCGATGTGCGGTCCCTAATACCATGCGCTGCCGTTGCACACAGTCGATTGCCAGGCAATGGCATCGCTTTTCTGACCTAAGTCATGCCATATGCCAGTCAAGTTCGCCATCACCCTAAGAAAGTGCGGATGGTTTCGACCGAAAACCATGCGAAGCTGCAGCAGCGAACGTTCATGCCACAGTCTTGATGTGATCCCTGCCTCTTTGCTCGTCTTCAAGGACCCGCCGGGGTACACTTTTGCAAGAATCCGTCCTATGTCTGTCGTTACTTTATGTACTTCCCCAAGGCCTCTACAGCTTTCTTCATCGACGCAGCAGCTTTTATGTAAGCTTCGTATTGTCTCCCCTTCTGCTTGTGTATCAAGCCCATGAATGACCAGGTTGCTATTGTGTCCGGATGCTGCGGACCAAGGGCTCTGTTTCGTTGATTCTGCTCCTTGGCGAACAATATATTGGCTTCAACAAGTCTGCCTTGTTGATAGTATATCAACCTGGCCAATCCCATCGTGTCGATCGTATCCGGATGCTCATCGCCTGGGACTTCCCGCCTGAGCGCCAGCGCTCTCGCAACTAACGGCGCCGCGAAGTCATAGCGGCCCTCGCAAATGTGCAGCACCGCGAGTTCTGCTATCGTTGACATCGTCTGGGGATGCTTTTCCCCCCCAGGAGCTCTTGCCGCTGTCGTAAAGTTCCTCGGACACTGGCTGGCACTCTCCAGGTTGACAGCGAATGAGATATGTTTCCAGAAAGAGCGGCAGCTTCTGTGTCGGTATCGCGTCTACCTTCGGCTGAGGCAGAGCCAGCAACGAGAGCTCTTCCATGTGCCTTGCCAGGTGCTCGAGGGTTGAGCTGAGAGTGGACTCTTCGTAACACAGGGGACAAGACGCTGGCCGGGAGCCGTCCATTGGTTGCTCGTAGAGTTGGAGGAGTCTGTCAAGCCGAGTGTCATGCATTGACCTGGATGCAGCACCTGTATACTGCGACTCGAGATGCGCTGTCATTTCTATATTGGACAGAGAACAACGTCGCATCGGTGTCTGTCCCTCAGCAGGAATGAGGCTTTTTCATGCGACCTATCAACATGCTGGAAGCGTGAGCTGCTTGCTGGGTTATGGGTTTAGCTGGAGACTGCCCAGATACGACAGAAACCAAATGAGCCCGGGTCTATTAGACAGCTCCGCCGATCGGTTCCGCCTACTATTCCTGGGCATCCTGCAGCCGGAACATGAAGATGAAGATGAAGATGAATGTGAAGTTTCCGTACAGGATGGAGACATCTGGAGTGGCGCAGAACCAACGAGCACAGGTACGACCAGCAGTTGTCGACATAGTTCCAGAGCCTGACGCTGCAGTTGACTATTTATGAGAAATGCGGATGATGCTAACTGTCACCCTTCGTCGCAGAAAGTGACTCTCAAGGGGTTGTTCTCACTTCGGTCACACCGTCAGTACCAGTCATTTGTCTTTGCCGCTTCATGGGCACAGCCGAGTCAGTATCACGAGGCCTCATTCATTGTGAAGAGCAAAGGGGCACAGAGGCAGCAAAAAAGAAGATTGATCCTCAAATGCGTTCTGCCTCCAGGAGAGGAGCATACCAGATTTCAGTCGCTCCGCGACAATCTGGCATATACATCGCAGCTGACGCCCGTTTTATCCAGGCGTGATAGGTTCTCCAGTGCCGCTGCCGCAAGTTGGGCGGTTCTATATCTCTGCCGCACCCCCTGGCTGAAATAAGGCGACTCCCCATGGCAGGCATTCGAGGCCATCCATCTCGGCATGCGTTTGGACACGTCACTCCGTCCTGCACCAATAAGACAACCACCCGTAGCTGTGTCGTGCCCTAGCAAATCTACAATCCCGCAACCTACACCCCTTAGCAATCATCCCGCGAACACTCAGGGCACCGAAACAACAGCAGCCCCTGTACAGTTTCCAAGGTTTACCCCCAACAAGATCCTCTTCGCCCTCGGCGTGTTGCTCACTGAGCTCTGTCTCAACAACACGATCGAGGCAATCCGTCACCAAAAAACAACATGGAAGTACAAACTCGGAGATGGATGAAGTCGCGCTGGATGACCTCGTCGACCGGCAATCAGACAGGGCCACTCCTATGGGTACGCCGTTCAGCGGTGTCTGCGCTGCGAGTTTCCCGGCCGTGACGCGGATAAGTCCTTTGAGTTCCAGAGGTTTCGGAGGGACTTCTTCAATGGCATCGTTGCGCCAGTGCATGCCGCGTACATGCTACAGTTGTGGAAGAGACGACATGCCATGGGCTGGTTTTGTTGTGGTGTTGGGAATGGTATGTCGGTGATGAAGGATTTCCTTTCTTCCAGTTTCTACCTCAATGTCTTCTTTGATACGGAAAAGAGCCGTATGCTGGGAAAAGAGGGCAAATGCCATGTATTCGGGGAAAAGTCAGGTTGTAGTCCTCTGGTAGTTGCAAGCAGCAACTGCAGTGGTGGGAGATATCCCACCATCCATGGTGGGGCAGCCTTATTTTATCTACATACAAACAACGACCCCACCAATGGTGGGGTATAACACCTAGCCCTAACCCTGCGCGATACCTTCCGGTATCATTCTTCCTCATTGAACAGACATGACAAGAAATAAACGCAATACTGTCCGGTATCTGCCTACTTCCTCTTTTCTAATATCCCTAAATAACAAACGCTACAGGAAGCCGATTCTTGACTACTTGCGTAAAGTCTTCAAAACCGGCGCCTTTCGAAAGCTCTGAGAAAACCTTATCTAACTACGCCGACTGCACGCCCGCGCACTTTGCTGCGTGGCCGCGGTGGGTGTGGAAAGTAGGGCGATTCGAGGTGCTGCGGACATCCCGAAAAACTCTCACCAGCGCACGGACCAACAGGTCACCTGACTCCCACCCACAGTTGCCCAGGCGACCACGCCCTAGTGCCCCTGAGCCCCTGAACCCCTGAGCCCTCGAGCCCTTGGATGGGACAGGATGACCGCCCCCACCCCTCCAACTGAAGGGAGAGGAGGAGGACCGGCCCAGTCACGGCACTCAAGCGGCCCCCCGACACCTCCTCGTTCCCCC